ACCCTATGCAACTAGCCATCAATTCTTTTAGGATCATTAATGGCATCGTCGTGCTGCCACATCGACAAAATGCCAGACTTACCCTTTTTGATATCTAATCCTGTTACACTATGTGTAGCCTCAAAGCAAACAATGGCTACATATACTACCTCAAGCCGAGATCTACACAATACAAGTAGATAGCCGATATCCCAGACTCAAATAAGGACACAAGAGACGACTACCTGATTGTCTCGGGCAATTAGGAGTTTGGAGCTTCACCTTTTCCCTTTGCATCGAGAAGTATTTAGGGATGATAAGGATAAGGACTTAGTCCCCCAAAGTCCCACTCTTTAAATTACTTTAGCATTCTTTCTGTTACTCTGTTATGATGTTCTCTATTTATTTTTGCAGCCCTTCCTCAGCCCGAAAAGAACTTTTGCCAGTACTACGTGCCGAGAAAAGACTTGGTTCGCCTTCTTGGCTTACCATTCGAGGCCCGCAAAGATCCTCTTCTTCTCAACTACATCCCTACCTACCGCAGTCCGTTGCCCGACGTCCTCAAAAGAAGTCAAACTCCACCTTCTGCCATAACTCCTCCAACAGCCTCATCTCCAAGGCCAGATCAGGCCTTCATCCGATCCTATAGGCCAGCCATCCACCTCGGCCCCTCAGTTAATCCCTCTAGCCCAACGCCAACATTAACACCGAGCTCTTCCAAATGCTCCCACTGGCAGAACTCACAATCGCAAACACCGAGATTCTAACTCATCGGCGTACGTTCCAACAAACCCTCTAATCGCCTTGTTATCTATTCATTTCAGCTCCAGAGTCACCGTCGCCGCTACAGCCGACGAAATAGGCCGCACCAAAATAGTCCCCAATGACCTTCTTGTCGACATTCTAGGGGTGGTGTCTGTCCATTCTTCCTCTCCTTCTCAGTCCCAACCGAAGCCCAAAGTCAAAAGGGTGAAAAGGGCCAAGGCTAAAGCCACCACCACAGAAGTCGAGTTCGAGGACACAGTGCCAATTTCCAAATTGGCTGAAATCAAGAAGACTACTTCTACGGTCAAGAAGAGGCCTGCCGAGGCTGAGCCATCTGACAAACCTCAGAAAAGGCCGAGATCCAAAGGTGTGACTCCTCGTGGTGCTTTCCATACCGATGAGCCCTGTGTTCCAGCAGTCAGAGTCAGAGACTGACCTTTGCTAGTTGGTGACAGTGCCCTTGACTCTGTGGAAGTTGGTGCTGCCATTTCTATCGTCATTCTGCTATCTACTAACCTCAACCGCATGGCTAAGCTGACAGGGTATGAGAACTATGTGCTACTGATGCAGCATTGTGTCCTGGTAAGTCTCTTTACTTTATCTTTTAAAGTTTTCCAACACTTAGCCAAATTTTACTAATCTGTTTCATTTCTTGCAGGGCATCTAGCAAGGTCATTCTTTGGCGATCAAGATTGAGGAATTTAATAAGGTATTCACCAAGAAGACTAAGGAGGTTGCCAAGCTCCTCTCTTCGCTTAACTAGGCCGAGGTTCACATCCGAGGTCTGTTGGACCAAGCTAAGGCTGCTCAGGCTGCACAAAACAAGGCTGAAGATCGTGCTGAAACGGCTAAAAACGTTGTTGTGGTAGCTAAGGTCGAATTAAAAGAGGCCAAGGAAAAGATTGTCGAGGCCTAGAGTGAACTTCAGTTTGCGCTCGCCATGAAGGAGGCCGAAATAAAGCGACCGACGAGAAGGCTTACGCCGAGGGTACGGCCAACGTTCGTGATGCCTACAAAAAACAAGTCAACCAGGCATACAACAAGGGTTACACCCTTGGATGGATAGTTGTGTCGAAGGAGTTGGCCATTCCTGAGAATTCGCCTCTCTATGACGCCAGCTGACTTGTTCTTTCATTCCCCCCCAACTCCAAGCCACTTTGAAGACGAGGCCAAGACAGAAGAAGATGCCGAGGCCGACAAGTCTGAAGAAGCTGCTACTGCTGGGGCCAAGTCCCTAACTTTGAATGAGCAAGTCCTAGACTTGACTCAAGATGAAGAGGAGGATGAGGTCCCTTAAAGTACTACTGCTGAAAAGATCACACCAGAGGCCAAGATCGCATTAGCTGAGAAGAGTCTGGACCAAACCCTTCTTGAGATTGATGCCAAGATAGCGGCTGAGAAAGAAGGAACTCTGCCAACCAAGGCCAACACAATGCCAATAGTCGAGGTTGAGCAATCTGTCACTGATGCCAATGCTTGGGATCTTTTTCTTTTACTTTTCCTTTTTGTTCATTTTGCTTTTGTTGGGCTGAAGTGCCTTGTTTGTCTTACATTTGAAAAAGTTTCCTTTGAGTGAATGCATGCCTTCTTTTCTTTCTAAGTGCTTGGGTATATGCTTACTACTTTCTTTCATGCCTTTCATGCTTCCATACTTAGAATATTGTTGCATTTCTTCAAAGTACACCTTAATTGTGTAATCACTTTGGGTTGGAATACAAGTTTCACCTTGGATAAAAACCTTTATTATTTTTCTCGGCCAACACTTAAAAATATTTCAAAATATTTTTTTGCTAAAAATTCATTGAACAACATTCAACAAGTATTGCATCCCTACTTGTACTAGTTGTTTTTTACCCTTCCGACCTTTCCAAGTTTGACAACCTGGTTGGTTATCTCGGTTAATAAATACCTCGGATACCCCTTCCCTTATTACCTTGGCTAACTTCAACTTGTAAATTGTTCTAAATTTTCAACTAGTGTCACGCCCAGTCTCATCTTGTAAATTTCTAACAAGTGCCAAGCTCTCAAGCGTATTTATCATTCTTGCTCCCTACTCCCTAATGTGAACCTAAGTTCCACTTTAGTTTGCATTATGCATTTATGGTCTTTTGCCAAAGTCAAATTCAAACAAAGATTAGTCGAGGTGTTCGACCTTGGTTTCTCTGGTAATCTAACTAAAGCAAACTTAGTTCCATTCTGCCGACATATTAAGCAAGTCTGATTTTATTCAACTGAGTTCAACTCTGCCAATATGGCAAGTCTAAGTTGATTCAACTTAGTTCGACTCTATCATATGCAAGTATAACTTAACTCTGCCATATAATAAGTCTAAGTTATTCATTAAGTTTCATTCAGAAACATCACTAACTTAGTTCAACTCTATTATATGCAAGTCTAATTCAACTCTGCCATATAATAAGTCTAAGTTATCTGTCATGCTTCATTCAGAAACATCGCCAACTTAGTTCAACTCTATTATATACAAGTATAATTTAACTTTGTCATATAATAAGTCTAAGTTATTCGTCATACTTCATTTAGAAACATTGCTAACTTAGTTCAACTCTATTATCTGCAAGTATAATTCAACTCCGCCATGTAATAAGTCTAAATTATTCGTCATACTTCATTAAAAAACATCACCAACTTAGTTCAACTCTATTATATGCAAGTATAATTCAATTCTGCTATATAATAAGTCTAAGTTATTCGTCATGTTTCATTCAGAAATATCGTCATAGGCCTGGTCAGTCCTATCACACAAATTTCAAATTCATAAAAATCAAACTAAGATTTAATTATTACTTCAGCTAATAAAATTATGACTTCAGCTAATAAAATTATGACATAAACTTTGAAAAACAAAAAACTAATGATAAAAACAACTTCAAATTGCAAGTGTTCTAGGGTCTTGGCAACTCTTTGCTATCAGTGTCTTCAAGCCGATATGCCCCACTGCCTTCGGCCAAGTTTGCCCTCCTTAGGATCCTTCTTGTTGCCGATGACTTTTCTAAGGATAAGGTCCCTAACCTTGAACTCCCTTGGGTTGACCTTCTTGTTATAAGCCTTAGCAAGCTGCTGCTAGTAAGCCCCTAGGCGAATTGCTGCTCTTTTCCTCCTTTTTTCCAAAAGATCCAGATCTCGGGCTAAAACTGCCTCGTTGGCTCCATTCTCCACTCCTTGGGTTTTAATTCCAGGGATGCCGACTTCCAGTGGGATAACTGCTTTTGTGCCATAAGCCATGGAAAAAGGAGACTCCCTAGTTGATCTTCTCGGCATAGTCTGTTATGGCCAGGGCACATTGGGCAACTCCTCCACCCAGTTTCCTTTTGTTGCTTCCAGCCTCTTCTTGATCTCATCCAAGATAGTCTTATTGAATGCTTCTATCTAGCCATTGCTTTGAGAGAAAGTTGGAGCGGAGTAGTAGTTCTTGATTTTATACTTTGCACATAAGCTTTTGATTAGCTTACTGTCAAATTGTGTACCATTATCGGCTATTATTGCCCTTGGGATCCTAAACCTGATAATGATGTTCTTCCACATGAATTTCTTCACATCAATATCTCAAATCTTTGCAAGGGGTTTAGCCTCTATCCATTTCATGAAGTAGTCAGTTGCTACCAGCAGAAACTTTTTTTGCCTAGTTATATAGGGCAGCTGTCTAACAAGATCCATGCATGCCCCACTGGGCAAATAGTCAAGGACTGGATACTGGGTTCAAATCTACTACTGGCTGTTGTATCAAAGGTGAAAACCTTTGACACTTCTCGCACTTTCTGACGTAGGCTTCAGCATTCTTCTGCATGTAGGGTCACCAGTACCCCTAAGTGATGGCCCCCTGAACAAGTGATCTACCCCTAGCATGGCTTCCATAGACTCCTTCATGAATCTCATACAAAAAAGTTCTCAACATGAAAGGGATGTATACATCTCAAAAGGGGTCCAGTGAAGGATCTCCTTTAGAGATGGCCATCTACAATTAGGCAAAATTTGGCTGACTTCAACTTGGTCTTGTGTGCCTCTTTTTGGTTGTCTAGCCGCTTGCCATCCCTGAGGAACATCACTATTGCATCATCCAACTTGGACCCATCTCCACACACATTGCCTCATATTTTATTATTAGAGGTTCCACACTTGGTCCTATCAAGTAATCTATCATGATTATCCTTAGCTCCCTAACTTTATTGCACTAGCTAGGTTGGCCAAGGCGTCAGCGTGATTGTTGTCATCTCAGTAACTTGCTGTAGCCGGCAATATTAGAACAAGGAAAGCAATCTGACAACCTCTTTAATATAGGCTATCATTAGTTCATCTTGGGCTGCATACTCACCTACTACCTGATTCACAATAAGTTGGGAGTCACAGAAGACTACCACATCATCAGCCTCCATTGCTGCTGCCAACTTTAACCCTACAATCAGTGCCTCATACTCTGCTTCATTGTTTGAGGCCTTGAATTCCAAACGAGACTGCTCTATCATTTGCCTATCTGGCGATACTAACACTACTCCTGCCCCTACTCCTTGACGGTTTGAACATCCATTAACAAACAGGTGGAAGGAGTCGCCAATATACATGCCGCAGGGCTTTGGTTTCTCTTCTTTCATCTGTTTTGCTAGAGTGGGGTTCTTAGGCCCCAGTTGGGTTTCTTCTTGCTCCCCTGGGTATCCCAAGTTGTATCTCACCAGAGTCCGACGCAGGATGGCACTAGGGGTGAACTCGGCCACAAAGTCGACTAGAACCTGGCCTTTAATTGTTGTTCAGGGCCTAAACTCCAACTCATATTGGCCCAACACTACTGCCCATCCGGCTACCCTTCCTGTTAGAGATTTCCTTGCTACAATAGGGACTTTAAAGGATGCTTAGTCAATACCACAATCTTATGGGCTTAGAAGTAGTGATTTGGTTTTTTCAAAGCCATCACCAGGGCTAGTGTCAATTTCTCTAGGGATAAGTACCTAGTCTCTGCACTTGTTAGGGTTTTACTCACAAGTATACTGCCCTTTGTTCTCCCTTCTCTTCTCTGATTACCACTGCACTCACTGTGTGGTCTGAAACTGCCAAGTATAGGAGCAATTCTTCTCCAAGTACTGGATTTGACAGAACTGGAGCTATTGTTAGGTACTTTTTCAAGTTGGCCAAGGCGACTTCGCACTCTTCCGTCCACAAAAAATATGTGGCCTTCTTTAACAAACTAAAAAATGGTTTACACTTATCAGAACATCGGCTGATAAACCTATTCGTGGCTGTCGCCTTGCCAGTTAAAATCTGGACCTGCCTAGCTGACGTCAGGCTCTTTAACTCAAGAATGGCCTTGATTTGATCTGGGCTTGCCTCAATGTCCCTTTTGGTAACCAAGTATCCCAGGAACTTACCAGACCCGACTCCAAATGCGCATTTCGAAGCATTGAGTCAGAGTCGATATGTTCTCAGGATATCAAAAACTACCTTCAAGTCGGCCATGTGATTCCCAGGTTCTTTGGTCTTTACGACAATGTCATCAATGTACACTTATACTATTTTCCAATCAGATGTCTGAACATCTTGGTCACCAGCCTCAGGTAGGTTGCTCCTGCATTTTTCAATCCGAAAGACATCACTCTGTAACAATACAGCCCTTTTGGGGTGATGAATGCAATCTTCTCCTCATCAAGGGGATACATTACTATCTTGTGGTATCCTCTGTAAGCATCCAGGAAGCTCATCCTCCCATGCCCTGAAGTAGCATCCACCAGTTGATCAATCTTGGGCAGTGAAAAATTGTCTTTAGGGCATGCCTTGGAGTCAACACTAACCCTCCACTTGCCGTTCTTCTTTTTTACAACCACTGTGTTGGATAACCAACTAAGGTAGTTCACCTCGCGAATGGCTTTAGCTTCTAGTAGTTTGTCCACTTCCTCCTCAACTGCATCAATATGCATTTAATGTTGGCCTCCTTGCTCGTTGGGTGACAGGTTTAGCTGACCTGTCTACATTGAGCATATGGCATGTGACCTTGGGGTCAATGCCTGGCATCTCATATGATGTCCAGGCAAATACTTCTATGTTGGCCCATAAGAAAGTCTCTAACTCCCTTCTTTCCTCCTCGGCCAAGTCAGCGCTCTTCATCCCCTTCTTGGACCAAAATTTTCTTCAAGGCTTCCTCACTCTTCTCGGCCAGTTCTTTGCCGACATTATTTAGGACTTCTATGTCTTTGTCCTTGACTTCCACTTTTTCTGCCTCTCATATATTGTAGTTGGATTTCATTGCTTCCATGGAGCAATTCTTTGGCTGCACTTGATCCCCTTTGACTTTTTCAATCCCCTATTCAGTTGGAAATCATAATAACTGGTGTAGTGTTGAGGAAATAACCCTCATTGCATGTAGCCAAGTCTTCCCAATATAACATTGTAAAGGGGAGGGGGTATCAATTACCGTAAATTCTGTGCTAACATTTCTGGTGTCGGCCTTTACCTCCAAATTTATTGCTCCTAGAGGCCATGTTGGCGTTCCATTGAACCCAACCATTGGGTTGTCCGACTGCTCCAAATCATCTCGGTAAAGGCCAAGCTCCTTGTAATATCTGACATACATGATGTCACAAAAGCTTCCTTGATCGATCAGAATACACCTTACCTGGCATTCTTCAATCTTAAAGGTCACTACCAAAGCATCGTTGTGTGGATGCTGCACCATGTCTAGGGCCGCCTTAGTAAAGGACACCATTGGTCCCTGGTACTCGTTTGACCTAGGCCTCTTTTGCTAGAACTGATTCACATGCTGTAAATGCCTCACCTTTTGGGTCTCTCTTCGCATATCATTCTCATTAACTCTCGAGTAAATCACATTGATCCCCCGAGGTTCTGCTTGTTGTGGTTGTGGTAGTGGTGGTGCCGGGGGAAGCCTTGCATGCTCTTCCCTCGTTCTGGCCTCATCTACTAGGTCTCTTAAGTGACCCTGTCTGACCAGATCTTCCAAGTGTGTCTTCGGGGCTCTGCACCCCTAAGTCAGGTGCCCATCCTCATTTTGGTAAGTGTAGTGCTTCCCAAGGCTCCTTCCCATGAACTCACCAGGAACCTTCTCTGGCACTCTATAATACGATTGGTTCCAGATCCTTTCTAGAACTTTATAAACAGGGATCCGAAACACAGTGGTGACTGCCTGTGCAACCCTCAGCCCTGTTTCCTACCTATTGAAACCAGTATTACCTTGGCCTCGCTTCGGCGAGCCGTTTCTCTTCTCCTGCTTCAGTGCCTTCATTCCCGGCGTATCCTTTTCTTCTCTGGCATATTTCTCGATCCGTGCTGTGAGCTCCTCTATACTCTTTGGTAGAGTTTTTGCCAACCACTTTCGAAAATGGGCATTCATCCTCCAGGCCATTCTTAAAAGACACAACCTCCAATTCCTGGTTGCATCCCGGTATTCTATTGAACATCTCATAATACCTTTTTTCATAAGCCTTGAGGCCTTCACTCTCACTAATTTTCAGAGCCATCAAGGAGTCTACCCTTAGTGGCTGCAACTTGTTTATAACAAATCTGGCCACAAACATCTCGTTCAGGACTCTTTATAGTTCCTTTCGGCAACTTGTGAAACCAATCAGATGCGATTTCCCCAAAGGATGAGGGGAATGCCTTGCACAGCAATGGTTCGTTCCCGATGTACAAAGACCTTGAATTCAGATATAAGCTAATGTGAAAGTTCGGATTGCACTTACCGTTGTTAATCTAGAACCTCGGCATATAGAACCTTTTTGGGGCCTCAAACCCATCCAACTCCACTGAGAAGGGGGTTCTCGGTTTGATAGGGGAACTGATCTCAGCATTATGCCGCTTCCTCTGGAGGTAGTCCCTCAAATTCTTCTTAGCCGGACCAGGAGCTCGACTGTCAATAGATTTCAATCTTTTTGGTGTGCTACTCCCGGTGTCGTTATGTGTTCTCTTGGACTTCTCTTCATTCACCATGTCAAAACATAGGCCTTTCCCTTGGATATTCCAAGGTTCTTTGACATATGTTCCCCTGGTACAAGGTGTCCGCTGCGAGTCACCTCTGATCAACTCTCCTCGCCCGACATCCCATGAAGACCAATGTGAGGGATCCTTTTCCTTGTCATGCTGCGGGACTATTGGGATTGTTTTCTGCCCCCCTTTTTGGGCATCAGTCTTCGACCTTGGCATCGGTATGCCCTGCAAATGACGTTGTTCTGCATCATGAAGTTGACAACTGATTGTAGATTTGCCAACTTGTTGGCCATTCCCTTCATCTCCCCATCCCACCTCAGGCACCTATCCTTTCATACCTGGAGGTCACTCTCATTGTAATACTCATCTCGACCTACTTTCTTCGGAGCGTTACCGTCTTTGTCGACGTCCTTCTGCACAAGATTCGGATCCTATGCTCTTTCATCACGATTTTCCACTTCTGCGTTAGGGTCTGTAAGTTCACCACTCTCAATGCGGATGTCATCTCCAATCTTTTCTTTCTGCCCATCTTTGGCCATCTATTCTCCTTAAGTTCCCATAGACGACACCAAATTGTGGGTGTTGATTTTTGACCACTGTAGACACCCCATTTTTGACCGTCCTCAAGACTTGGACGTCACCATTGGAACACTTGGTGATTACCCTTGTTTGTGTTCGTCCTGAGTTCCCGGAGGTCTCGGCTTGCGCGACTTGCCTCAGGATCTCTCGACTCGACTGTTTAGTGTCTGGTTTTGCACCAAACACTTGTGTTTTGCCTTGGAGGGGCAGGGAATGCCTTGTGAGGCAACCCCACACATCACCGGCCATGGCCAGAAGCCACCGGCTGGTGTTTTGTTTCCATCGGCAATGTGTATTGCCGGTCGGCATTCTTTGTTGCCGGTCGGCAGTCATTTTTGCCAAAATGGCAATTTTGAGCAGCCGACTACTGTTCATTTGCTTTTGCAAATATTTTAATACAGCTGTATGGCATTTTGTTCCCCTCCACACACATGTATGGAGGGATGGCCTTCTTGTTAGCTTACCTTGTAAGCTTTACAAGATTGGCTCCTCTACAAGAGGAGCCCTCCCTTCTTGGCTTGGGGTTAGACATTTTAGAGAGAAATGTTGTGTGAGAGCTCTGGTTTTAGGTTTAGGGTTCCATACATATTCTATCTCCATATCTCTCTCTCATTTGGCCTTTGTGTGTGTATAAGTGTGTTTGTGTCTTACTATTGCATACAAACACATAGTGTTACACCTTTTCTTGGTTCTTGAAGGGCCAGAGGTTTGTTCTTGAAGCTTTGGAGCTATTTTGAGCTTAAGGAAGGGGTTGGTCCATCATTTGTGAAGAGGGTCTTCAAGGGTAAGAAACTAGTCCCTTTTTACCCCATTTTTGCATTCTATTTTTGCCTATCTTAGAACTGTTTTTGAGCTTAGTGTATAATATAAAAAAGTTCTATTTTTAGGCCCTCTAAATAGTTTGTTTAGAGTGTTTTGTGGTTTGAGGTTGTTTGACCCCTCCTAAGCCTTGTAAGGCTCCATTTTGTGCTATTTTGTGTAAGCTCTGAGACCTTGGTGTTTGGGCCTCCTCATCACTGAAATCTTGAGGGATTTCAGAGGTGAGGATGGTGCCTTGAGGTCCCAAGAAGGAGAGAGCCACCCCCTCTCCTTGTTGTCCTTGAAAAGGACCATTTTTGGCCTCTTGAGGGAGCACCTAGCTAAGCTTCATGTTGACCATGCCTTAACTGATTTTTGTGCTTATTATGTCATAATATGCCTCTGTTTTTTGTTGGTTTTGGTACACCATGCATGCTTAGCATACCTACCTTGTAATGCCATGTTTAGGCCTTAACATGCCTTAGGTTGTAAGCCATTGTTCTAGCATGTTTTAGGCCTAGCTTTGTTAAGATTTTGTGCTTATTTTGCTATGTTTGAGGTCTGTCCTAGGTTGTTTAGGTCGACCTTGGCATGCTTAGTATAGCCCCTTTGCATTTTTGGTTTGTTGGCCTTAAGTGTATGAATGTATAGCATGCATCCTTGCCTTAATTTAGTGGGTTGGGACCATTTTCCATGTTATTTCACTCCCTTTAACATGCTTGTATGCTTGCCTTGGATGCCTCTTTGAAGCTTTGAAAGCTTGTGTTGCATGCTCCATGTTTTGGTCATTGTGCATGCTTTTGAGTTTGAGCCACTTAGATGCCATCTAGGTGTCCCTTGGGTGTTGTTTAGGCCTGCCTTAGACCTATTTTAAGTCCTCTTAGCCTTGTGAGGCTTGGTTGATTTAGACTTGGTTTAAGCCTCTTGGCTTGTCTTGGGTATTTGGCTTTGTTTGCATGCCTTGTTTATCTTGTTTATTTGGCTTAGCACCTTTTGTAACATGATTTTCAATGCTTGCCTTGCATGCCATTAGTCCATGTTATGCCTCTTTCAAGTGTGCTTGAGAGTCGCCCATTTGTGCTCGAGTGTTAGCCTTTTAACATGTGCATGTGTGTATGTGTGTTTAGTCTTCATTTCATAGCACTTATGGCCACTGTTTTGGGCCTAATTAGAGCTGTCCAAATCACGTTTAAGTCCATCCTTTGCTTACTTGCATGCTTACCTTGCATGTTATTGTATGCTTGCATGTGCATCTTGCATTCCCATGTTGCACCCTTAGCTTGCATGCCTAGGCTGCATTGCATCTAGCATGCATGCCTTGTTCCTTGATCTAGTGATAGGAATTGGGCTTTGGATTGTTGGTTTGCATTGCATTTAACATTAAAATGTGCACACTTGGTCCTTCGGGCCATCACGCATGGAAATACGCGATTGATGGTCCGAGAACCAAGGAGCGTATCCCTTTGAGTCATTAACATGATAAGGGACATGGTTGGTGCATATATGGCTTGAATTGCATTGCCATGCAAAGTCCTGTCCTCTGCTGCTGTCAAACAGGTTCTGCAGGCACTTTCTGCCGATCGACTGCACGGAGTGCCGACCG